GAAAAGAGAAAAGAAAGGAAGGAAGGAAATCCTTTTACTAGTATTTGCTACTATTAAAAAATGTCCTTTCAAATACCTTTCTGGGCAGACTGGGAGGGGTGTGAGGGAGGAGGCGGAGGAAGAGGGAAGATTATTTGAACTAGTTGGAGTGATGAGCTGGGAGGGGAAACTTCATCTGAACCAGGCTCCCAGCTAACCCTCCTCCCCATCTCTTTCCAGCCTCCCCTGATGGAACAAAGACCTGCTGTCCCGGGAGTGCGCCCCCACCCCCACCCCCTCACTCTCCACAGGGAGCAGCTGGGCAGTTGCTCGGCCCCTTGCCGTCCAGCCAAGTGCACTCTGGGAATCTGGAGGACGCTGGGGAAAGGGCTCCCTTCTTGGCTCCACCAGACAGCCCTTCCTTGTGGGGCACAGTGGCTGTCGCTGGGGAAAGAGGGAAGCTTCTAGATGCCAAGCCAGTGGCAAGGAGAGAACATGGTGTCTTTTTCTGCACCGTCTTCCAAGCTCTCAGCCATACACTCCCCCAGGCTCACCCCAAAGGCCTTGGGGAGGGAGGGCTGGAAATCCTTAATGAGTGAACTTATCTCCTACTTAACTGGTATCTGATGCTTTATATGGTTTTGAAAACCAGATTCCCTGAGGGCTGGGGCTACTGGGGGATTGGTCCATGGGAGCGGCTCAGGCATGATTTAATGGAGACATTCACACTGTGCTAGGTAATCTTCGCTGCTTTAAGTAATACATCAGGGCCTCAGGGCCGCGGGGTGCTGGGCTCTCCATCCCCTGCCTTCCTCTGCCTCCTTTCCGGCATTCACCTTCCAGGCCCTTTCCTATTTCTCACCTTTTTGTTTGTCGTCTCTTTGTCTCTTCTCTCTCTCTCATCTGTTTCTCTTTCTGCCTCATTTAGTTTTTGCACTTGATCCTCACTCTCTGTTTCTTTTCTTCTTTCCCCTCTCACCTCCACCCCAACTAGGACTGCCTCTCTGTCTCTACGTCTTTCTCTCCTGCTCACTGTCTCTCAGTCACTCCCCTTCATCTGTTCTCTCCTCCATGCCTCTCCCAGTCTCCGAGTACCCCTGTCCCTCTCTCATTGTCCCCTTTTCTCCTTCCTCCCTTCTCTGTATGTGCCCCATCTCTCTTACCCCCGCCCACTTCCTGTCATTGTCCTTTTCCATCTCCCCATCTTTCCTTTCTCATCTCTGTCCTTTCTCATCAACCCCCCCACCCCCCCCCACCCCCCCTCTAACACACACCCCCTGCTCTCAGGCTCTCAGGTGGGAAGGAGTGTCTAGCTCTCCTCTGGACCTCAGTGCCCCCAGAGGGCTGAGGACGGGCACAGTGGGCTCCTGCTGCTGAGTAGGAGTTGGGCAGCTGCAGTGGGCCTGGGAGAAGGGACATCAGCCATACATAGTTTCTCTGAGAGCCATGGGGCCTCCAGGGCCCCACCCAGGAGCCTGATATCCCTCAGGCCCTGACCACAGGCAGCCTCCTCATTTGCAGAGCTCATCACTGCGGGGGTTTTGGCCAGGGACACTGAGGTGCCCAATACTGTCCCTTCATTTCCTCGGTAGATCTAAGAAACGCCTGCCCCTCACATCAGGACAGGCAGCCCACCTGGGGCAGAAAGTCAAGACCTGGCCTCTGAGCTGGGTGAAGGGGGAGGAAAGAGAGCTTTCTTGCTGGGATCGCTTGCCATTCCCAGATCCTGGGATTCAGGAAAGGGCCACGAGGCATGAAGCCTCGAGTGAGGAGCTTAAGAAAGGATCTCACTGTCATTTCAACCTGGGGAAAGGGCAAGTAATGGAGCTTCAGTGGGGCTGAGTCAGACCTGGGCAAGGTCGAGAGGGCGATGCTAGCAAAAGAGGCTAAATATATTCTCCTGAGTGTACCCTAAAGGCACAGAATATACTCAGTATACACTTAGGCAGAGTGGGCAGGTACATAGCCAGCCTGGGCACGGAGAGTTTAGGCTGCCCAAACAGCTCATGAAAAATGAGCACTTACTATGCGCCAGGAGTTGGGTTCAGTTGGGTTGGAGGGGTCCACGGACTCGGCTGAAGTTCCAAGATGTCCTAACCCTTCATCTCTTAGAGCTCAATGCATGTGCCCACACTTGGCTGGAACGCGGCACCACGCAGGAGTCTGCGAACGCAGGGAGGCGAGCGCCTGAGGACCCATCGTTGCGCACACCCCAGGGAGGGAGCACCAGCCGGCTGGGACCTGGCCGACGCTACGACTCAGCTCCACAGGCTGTGGGGCGCAATGAGGGAGGCTGGGGTGGTGGGGGTGCGGCTCCATTCCTAGTGGGGGACGCGACACAGCGTCAGTGCCATCTCTCCGTCTGCACTTGGAGGTGGCAGGAATCCGCGGAGAGGGGGAGGGGGAAGGAGGCCGTGGGTCGCGTCCTGGCCTCCTTCACACCCAGGGACTGTGGTCGCGCCACTAGCCAATCCATTCGCCATTCCTCTTCCCTGAACCGTTTCATCCATCACTTTCCGGATCCGAAAGGAGGGAGGAAACTGAGGCTCCGAGCAGTTGGCTCGCAGCGCGTGCGGGAAGCTCGCCAAGCTCTTGCGCGCGCGCCAGGCCGGGCAGCGGCGGCGGAAACCACAGTCCCGGGCCTCCTGCGAGAGGCGGGAAGCGAAGCCAAGCGCGGCGCAGGCACCTCGGGCCTCTGAGCGAAGCCAAAGTCGGTCAAGCGGGCAAAGGAAGAAAGAAGAAGCGCGGTTCCGGCTGCCGCTTGGAAAGCCTCGTTCACCCCGTCCTCCGCGGGAGCGAAGCGGCCGGGGGAGAGGCTGGGGTCGGCGGAGCCGGGAGGGCCTGGAACCCAATGGCCTTGCTTCTGCCGCGGTGCCGGCGGCGGTCGGTGGCAGATGGACTCTACCCAGCTCCAAGCCTCAAGACGCGGGGTAATTGGCAGGAAGAGGGGGGGATTCTGACCTCCACTTCTGAGTCTGTATTCCACGTGCCTTCCGGGAGAGAGGGGGGAAAGACGGGCGGGAGGGAGGCCAAAGCAGAGATAGAGCTAGGAAGACAGAGAGCAAGACCAAGTGAAAGAGGACACTGGTGGAGGCAAGGCGACTCCTGCGACCCTCTCGACCTGCCCACAAACAGGCCAGGCCAGAAGGACAAATGCTGCCCTGAGGGGGCCAAGGGATGGGCGCCTGGTGCCTGCTTAGAGGGTGGCATCGCCTCCTCGCCCCGTGGCTGTGTGAGTCCAGGAAACCACTCAGTCCTCTGAGCCCTGAGTTCCATCCCTTGATCTCAGGGAAGAGCACTGGCAGGTGGCCCCAAAAGGCCTTGAAAGAACTGGGGTTAGGTTTGTGCTCCCCCTCCCTTCTCTCCAGCAGAGCTGCTTCGGAAGCAAACACCAGGATCTTGGCCGTCTGGGTGGACACTGGAGGCCTGGAGGAGGACTGCAAGGCAGGCGCCAACAGCTGCTCATGTGCTGCTTAACTCTCAGTCCCCATCGCGTGGGGACACAGGCCTCGGGTTGCCAAACCTTTGGAAGCCTTGCATTATCTCAGAGGGTTCTAACGGCCCTCAGGAGCCCGGGTCCAAGGTGGCCCCAGGATGAAGAGTGTCGTCCCCCCCCCCGCCCCCCCCCCCCGCACCCAGGGACACACAGCAGGCCTCGGGGCTCCAGCCACCCCCACCCCCATCCCCAAGTCCAGGCTTCCCCAGCATCCTGTGCACACCACCCAGCTCAGATCCCGGCGGGCTGAGGCCGGGTCTAGAGCGATGCTTCCCCGTGGAGAACTGGGAGAGACGCAGCCAGAGAGGCGGGAAGGACGGTGGGTAGGAAGCCCCAGCGAGTGTCAGGGAATCGGAGAGAGCTGGAGAGGGCCAGAGAGAGCCAGGACCGCCAGTGGCGAAGAGAAGCGGGAGGAGGGAAAATGGGGAAGGAAGAGAGACTACGGAAGCTAGAGCCCGCCAGAGCGCGAGCCCGCCCCGGCGCAAGACGGCGGAGTCTCCCGCGGTGCTCCCCGCGCCCCACCCGGCCCCAGGGGAGCGGCCGGCCGACCAATTTGGCCTTTGCCAGGCCACTGGGGCTCGATTCAATTCTTGACTAATTAACTGGAAGCTACGTCGCCCCTTCTTTCAGGGCCCAATTAATTCGCCGCGGGCGGTGGGGCGGGGGCCGTGTGGCGAGGCGCCCGCCTGGAGCCCCTTTGTGAAGGGCTGTCTGGACCATATTGATTCTACACACACACACACACACACACCTCTCCCTCCTTCCTTCGTACCAAAAAGAAAAACAAGTCTTGAAAGCCCTGGACTTCCAGAGTTTAAGGTTTGATCAAACTCGCACCCCAACCCCCACCAATTGCACTGGCTTTCAGAGCGGAGGGGCCCATGGACCGCTTGGTCTCCAGGTTGTCGGGAAAGGGTTCCACGGGATTTCTCGCCCACAAAGGCAGCAGATCGCTACTGTGTAGCTATCGGCCCATCCCTAGGTTGACTCCCAGCTGCGTCAGAGACTGGCCTGGCCATGGGACCTCGGATAAGTCTTTGCACTTCCTTTCCTCCTCTGGCACCTGAAGACCGCTCAGAAGATGTCTGGCTCCTCCGTTTGTTCTGTTGGATGAGCTGACCCCGTGGGAAAGCTCTCAGCAGGCTACCACCGGAGCGAGTATTTAACAAAGGTTCTCCCAGTAAACAGCATTTCATGGCAAACCCATTTCTAAATGAGGACCCGCCTGGCCATGACCCCGGTGTTTGCTTCCGAGGCGCACATGTCGCAGAAGGGAATCTGCCCATGCGCTTGTGAGCGCTCAGGGGGCCTGCCGGGCGTGGAGCGCGCTCTGCGGGCTGCGGCTCCCAGAGGCTCCCGGGCGGGACTGGAGGCTCTTCCCCCGTCTGTCCCCACCTCCCCTCCCCTTCAGTAAGGACAGCGAGCAGCCAGGAACCCTCAATCTCGAAACCTTTTGGGTGGAACCCAGCGCGGAGCCAAGGGGGCGATTTCCCAGCGTTCCTGGGGGCTCATCGATTGGACTGACCTCACCATGGGGTCACTTGTCTCCTTCATCGATCAACCAAACGAAATCCGGGACACACATCTAGGTGGAAGGAAAGCGTCTGTGTAAAGCTGGCGGAAGTGGCCCTGCTGGTGAGAGAGGGTGCGCAGGTGTCCCAAGCGGGTTCCACTCCCACGCAGCGTTTTCGGGGAAACGAGCTTCTCATCCCACGCCCCGTTATTCCGTCAGTAGTTCCTTTTTTGGTTCTGTTGTATTTTTAAAACAAAAACCAAACAAACAAGAATTAGTTTATTCAACCAACAAACCTTGAAAGAACACACTGCGCCGGGCGCTGGGGTCCTGATGTGGAGAAGGGTCTGCAGGGAAACATAAAGCCCTGGCAGCAAGCTTCTCTGCAGTCACTTTGAGCGACGGACTCTGGGCGAGACCACCTGGGCACCTGCCCCGGCTTCCTGTGAGGAGTGGCGGAGATGTTCTGTCCTGGGCGAGGTGCCTGCCCTGAATGGAAGAAACGGATGGGAGAGTCTATAGCTACATCCTTCATCACCGTCACAAGTTCAGGTGTGAGAAGTCCTTTGCGTTTGGCCCGGTCAGTAGGGCCTTGGGGATTTCCTGGGCTCTCAGATGCTGCCTCTTCCCGGGAGTGAAAACCACCCAGCCCCCGCCTCTCCCCAGCACACAGAGGAGCTGGGGCTGGACTGACCTGGCCTTCCTGCCCCCCGCAACCTTGAACTTCAGCCCTTTCCCACCCCATCCTTCCTGGGCCTCTATTTTCTTCATCTTTAAAATGGGAATTATACCATCTTTTTAAAAACCACAGGGAAGGACCGTAAGCCCAAAGCCTCACATCTCTTGCTCGCCCAGGGGTCTCCAGCTCTTAGCGGACGACCTGCACAGAGAAGCCCCTCAGTCGGTATCTGTGGAAGGACCTACGGGACATTTCTATCCCCCATACCAAACGTCTCTTCTCATTACGGTCTTATCACTGTCTCCTTCTACATAGACGGGGTTGGGCGTTGCAGCTAGTAAGTTTGATGTTGTTTTTGTTTTTCAAATACACGTTGAAAGTGGCCATTTGTTCACAAATGCATGGAGTACCCAACCCCCTCCAGTCCCCGCCTCGCCTCTCCCTTTCTTCATGCACTTTCATTCGGTGTGGAAAGATTATTTATTGCACACCCAGCAATTACCAAGCACTGCGTCAGAGTTGGAGATGTGAGTGCCATCCCTCCAGGAGCTTACAAATTAGATACATCACATTAAACCCTCCTACGCAGACCATGTAGTCTATTAACTCCTTTAGTAATGGTTCATTTCCCCCCCCCCCCCCATTTCTTCTAGCCTTTTAAGTAACTTTTGACAAGACTGCAAAGTCTAACAGTGCCTGGCAACATAGTAAGTGTTCAATAAATGTTGGATGAATTTATTCTTCTCAATACTGTTGCCCATAGGTCTTAAACACATTCACAGAGACACTCCCAGATGAGGACTCAATGTACAGGGTCCAGTCCCAGAGGCTCCCTGTGCCCACAAGATCCGCCCACACCCCAACCCTGAGATTCCCAATTCCAGGTAGAGTTCAGCCTGGTGAGGCCAGCCACTCCATGTGACCCAGCATACCTGGGCCTGGCTGGTACCCAATTGGTCTTTGCAAAAAGAGCCGGGCCCGAGCTTCTGCAAACCGTGTGCCCTTTGCGCATCTCCACACCTATCTGGCTGTCCTCTTTCCACCCCCACCCCAAACACACACACACACACACACACACACACACACACACACACACCCCTTTCCCCCTAAAGAGGAGCAAGTGCCTGTGACGCCTAAGAAATGAGGCGCTAGTTCACCCTAAAAACCTCTTTCCTCATATCCCTGTAGTTGCCCAGCCTCTCTGGTCCAACTTCCAGATTCGGCGGACTGTGGGTGCCCCACTACCACCCCCAGCTTCCCCGAACAGCTTGGGGCTCCTGATGCCACTGAGGAAGCTCAAAACTGAGGTTCCCACCCTGTGCGTCCGCGAAGATCCACTCTCAGGCCTCGCGGGGCGCACACGGAGGACGACTGTCCCCCAGCCTGGTCCCCCCCAGCGCCATCCAGCGGCAAGATGCCAAGGGTACAGCCGCAGAGGTTCCTGGTGGGTTCTCCAGAGAGAAGTGCAGGGGGGCGGGGGGGAGGTGCCAAGGGAGAACCGTTCCCTTCCTCTGCCCACCTTCCCCTCCCCACTCCCCAAACGGGGGCGCTTCTGCCTCCTAGGCCTTCCTACAGGCCCCCCCCCCAACTGCTCAGGGCTGATTCAGGTTCACCAGTGTTCCATCCACCACCCCCTTTCACAAATGCCCAAACACAGGCGCTGAACAGGAACTTTTTTAAAGGAAAAAGAGAAAAGAAAAGAAAGAAATAGGGGCAAAAAATAGTGTTTGCGCCACCCCTGCCTGGAAACTGTCCCGCGGCGGCGCCGGGTTCACCCCAGGCTGGGTGACGCTGGCTCTCCCTTCCATGCGGGCGTGTTCGGTCCTGCCTGAGCCTAATTCTATACCTGTGACCTTATCCTGGCTGCAGCCAGGCGCCTGACTCTCTGCCCCTGCAGGCAACCCAGACTGGAACACTCCCTCCACCCTCCGGGGACTGGGGATGGCGACCCCCGACCCCAGGGGCGCGTGGAATCCTAACCACAGGGGGAGAGGACCGCTGCTCTTCCTACACCCGGAATGTTATCGCTTTTTTTTTTTTTGAAAAGTGACTGTGTACATGTGTACACACATATCACATACATTATTGAGCGAGTTCGTGCAAGACTAAAAACACGGAAAAACAGTTTGGGGGAGCCATATTCTCCGCCTCCCTGGAAATGTGTAACAGACAGACTTGATTGCTCCAGCGCCAGGGAGGAACCGCGTAGCTACGAAGCAAATTTCACTCTGTCTCCGGCTGGTCAAGGGGAGCCCGCCTTGAGGCGTGGCTGCAGCGCAGGTTTCAATGAGGTTTCTCTTCCCATTTCGGGCTACTTGGGGTGGGCACAGGTACACACCCAGGGCATCTTACAAACGCACATGCCCAGTCCCGTGCGTTTCAGTGGAGCAATGGAATAGAGCCTTACAGTTGGACCCACCCGCAGCTCAGCAAGCCCTCTGAACAGCTCTCTGAACGTTAGGAAAACCTAAATGGACGTTCTAGAAAGAGTGGGGGGCCCTGCCCTGGGAAAGCCGGTTGCAGCTCCCTTAAACCTGCGACACCCCATCCAAAGAAAGGCCCCTTTGCCCCTCACCCAATCTTTACAACTAATAAACTTTATCATCATTCAACTCCAATGTCCCTGTTACAGAGAAATCTGTACTATGCGCCCCCAAAAAGAACGCATCACCCGCGCTCACAAGGCCTGCCTGTCATGGACTCCAACCATTCTCGGGTTCTAGACAGAGAAACGCAAGAGACGGGGTGTCCTGGCTCTGCTCGCATTCCTACGACATACGAGTGAATGCAAGAACATATTTTAACTTGTCGAATAGGAAATTTCTAACTCTGCCGCTCGTCTCGTCCTTCCTCTCCTCCCCCCTTCTCTCAAACATTTGGGGGTAGGGGGGGTGGGGAATGAAGTCGCTAGGAGCTAGGTAAGGGGGGGGGGTTAAAAAACACGCCGGGCATTATTCACACCTGCAAACTTTGGATGGCTGGATTCGGCCCCAATTGGCCTAATTGTAAATCTTTTCCGCATGGCCCCAACTCCTGGGCCAAGCGTCTGGGTTTAATAATGCGCCCCTGCACCCCAGCAGGGCCCGGCTGAAAAGAGAGAATCCCCGCCCCACCCCCACGCCGCGCAGAAGTAATTAGAGCAGCCCTCCACCCCCACCCCCCAAACCACGCTTGAAGTACCAGAACACCAGCCTCAGACATGTGGGAAACTCATATTTTACCCTCAGAAGACAAGAGGAGCTCTTTCCAAAGCAGAGGCACCCTCCGAGCGGGCAGTGGGAGGGCGCGCCCCCTCTCCACCCCGCGCCCCCTGGCGCGTCGGGCTGGTCGGAGGGCGAGTGGGAAAGAGAGGCGGCTACCCCCCCCCCCCCCCAAGCCAGAGCCGGCCTCCGACTTCCCCGGCTGGCAGCGTAGGGCTGACCTGTTTATAGAACTTGCTGCTAAGAAAACATGTAAAAACACACCCCAGCGGGGGCAGAGGATGAGCGCGCCCTCCACCCCACCCTCTCTTTGCACGAGGGAGTTCTCTCCCGGCTCCGTTCCGTGCCCTCGGAGCCTCCTTTCCCCCCAGGAGGCCATCCCCTCCCCACGGCGTCCCGTCCCTCTGCGAGGCGGGGAGTGGAGAGGGAGGCTGCCATCCGGGCTGCGAAAGACGATCGGGTGTGGGGCGGAGGTTGGAGGGTTGAGGGTAGGTGAGGGGCCCCTCGCTCGCTCCCTGTGGTCTTAGTTTTCGTTCCTAAGGGGCCCGGCCCGCCGCGCTTTCTTCGTTCCCATCCGGGCGCCCGCCTCGCCCCGCCCCGGTAGCTGCGGAGGGAAGGCAGGTAACCCGCGCGCGGAGCCAGTGCCGCGGCTCGCGGGGTCCGGGCCGGGCGGGCCTGCCTGTCCGAGGCCCCTTTGCCCCTCCGCGGGCCAGCGCGGCCTTGGGGAGCAAGAGAGGCCCCCGCCCGCCCACCCCGAGCGGCGCGGTAACGCCAGGTAGCGAGCGTCTTCCCGGGCTGGGCGCGGGGCGAGGCCTGGAGCTGCGTCCAGCTTCCGTATTTGGAACCCGGGGCGGGAGGGGGGCGGCGGAAGGCGAAGCCCGGGGGCCGAAACCCACGCCAAAGGGCCTCGTGGGGAGCCCTGCGCTGTCGCTGTCCCCCACTCCTTCGTGGGGCCCGAAGTTTTCCTTCTCCAGAGGAAGGAGGAAAGGGCTCTGCGAGGGAAGGCGAGGGCAGGTTCCCAGATCGGAAAGGCCGCCCGCCCGCCGCCCTGCGTTCTCAGTGTTTGGCTTGGAGATGAAATGAACGGAGGCCTGGGCGCCAGCGAAAGCCACTCAGGAGAAGCGCTCTCCATTCCAAACATTCTCGCTTTCTATGTGCGCGCGTCTCTGCCTCCCTCTCTCTCCTTCCTCTACAAGATAAATACAAATGGTAGAGGAAAGAGAAACCTTGCCAGCCCTCCTGGGTTCAAAGCCCAAGCCGGGGACTCTTCCAGACTTCTGGGACCTCCCAGGCCACTTTCACCCCGACCCGCAGCTCAGCTCGGGGGACGGAGCACGCCCCCAGCCCGGGGATCACTCCCGGATATTGTACACGACTCGGCTGGGAAGGCTGTGCGTGCTGTGTGCTATCTGCAGGCAGGGACTGCAGGGTTGGGAGCCGGGCACCTTCCACTTCAAGTCCCATTGCTGCGGCCTCTGGTCTTTCACGGCCAGGGAGGAGGCGAGGAGGCGAGAGGCGAGGAGCTGGGCAGGTAATTAAGACTGACAGAGGTACAGCCGCCCCTCCCCAGGTTCCCAGCGGCCCTGGTGCAGGGTCAGTGATCACAGAAGGCAGAGGGGAGACAGAGCTGGTTGTTGGCTCCAAACTGGGAGCCCTGCGTTGGGCCTGGGGCAGCTGCTCAGGGCAGGCCAGGTCTGGAGTCAGGATCCAGAATTCAGAACCCCCAAATCCTGGCCAAGGCAGCCAGAGAGACAGGTGAAATCACACAAACACACACCCCCTCCCCCAACCACCACCACCCTGGGTCCCAGACCACAAAAGGTTACATCTTCCATGCAAAGGAGAAGGGATTTTTTATCAGTTTTCAAAATAACTGTATAACCTGGAACTTGAAATGCTAGCACCCCTCC